GAAACTGATATGGTTGAAAACTTCAGAACAAATGAGTATGAAGACCTTGGGATGAAACTGTGGAGGTCATTTAGTTTTTTTGTTTTTGACATGTAAGAAATCGTGATGGACATTATTCAGCAGTTTCTCTGAGGGGCTGCAGAATAGTTTAAAAATGTTTAAAAAACAGTCAAAAAGACGTGACCTTAGCAGATCTCTAGAGTTTGGGGTTAGCAGCTCCAGGCTACGTTGGAGCTGCATTGTGGGTAATGTAGGCATCATGGTGTAACAAGAAGGAAGAATGTCATCCATCCATCCATCCATCCATTATCTATACACCGCTCAATCCTCACTAGGGTCGTGGGGGGCTGGAGTCTATGCCAGCTGACTCAGGGTGAAGGCAGGGGACACCCTGGACAGGTCACCAGTCTATCACAGGGCTACACTTAGAGACAGACAACCAAGCACACTCACATTCACACCTACGGACAATTTAGAATCACCAATTAACCTCAACATGTTTTTGGACTGTGGGAAGAAGCGGGAGAACCTGGAGAGAACCCACGCTGCACGGGGAGAACATGCAAACTCCATGCAGAAAGATCATGGGTGTCCTCACTGGGACGCAAACCAGCGACCTTCTTGCTGAGAGGCAATGGTGCTAACCACCGAGCCACCTTGCAGCTTCAGGAAGAATGCTTCAAATTAAAAAAAAAAAAAAACACAAAGAGGATCTGTTTCTGTCTGCAGCAGCTTTGGTGCATCTATTGAGAGTTCATAGGCGGAAGTGCAATGCAAAATCCATGAAGAACTCTTATTTCCTAAAAAGTAAATGTAAACAATGCAGAATCTTTGGATGCAGTCAAGACTAACATCTACAGATCAACAAACATTTCCAGCTGTCCAGAATTCATTTTAATAAAAGCCAGTAAGAAGAACAAAGGTCAATATAGATGCTTTGTGGTTAAAAAGACTACAAAAAAGGTCAATAACAAAGCCAGCAGGAGAATCCCAGGAGACAGAGTCCCGTTTCTCCTGCATCACAGCAAAAGCCTGCGTGCCCCGAAGACAACACGATGTGCCAAAAATACCCAACCTGCATTTGCGTTGCACGAGAGCACGTGCAGGTGAGGATCTTCCTGCAGCTGAAAGAGCCGTGGAAATCACACAGTGAGACCTCTGCACGCCGGCAGCAGAGCGCAGCCAGCTGTCAGGAACAAGCAGACATGTTGTGATTCTAATGGTTATGGATGCACTGAAGGCAGGCAGTGTGTTGGAGGGGAGGGAGGACTCGGTGTTGTTTGGCAGATCAGGGTGACGGAAGGGACAGACAGTTTAGAAACATTTCACTAAAGCGCAGTGATTAAATTGTGTGCCGAGAGAATCGCTCAGTCTTTAAAAGCTGCAGTTTGGTATAATCAAGGCCAATGTCAATTAATGCAGCAGCAATTAGTGAATCAATAGCCTGCTTCGGGCTTAGGGAGGGAGGAGAGGATTTAGAGTTTGATTGAGTTTGATTAAAAAGCAGGTGCTTTATATTTTGTATGTTGATTGTAATATCAGAAAATAAAAATTGCAAGTCAAAAAAAAAAAAAAAAGCAGGTGCTACGCAAACAGCCTTTTGAAACGTATCCGTTTGACTGTTTGATAAGTGTTTTGTCAAGCAGCGTGAGGCTTTCAAAAGGGAAAATCAAACCTTTAAACGAAGCGATCACGAGCAGCTCCATGGTATTTCTGTTGCCACAAACTGAAGACGTGACATGACACTGACATTACGTTTCCACCGGCTATAATTAGTTTGACAGAGGATTTTTTTTTCAGTGACGGGTAGATTGGTGGTAAATGTCAGGTTCGTGTCAGGCCAGGAGCAAAGCGTCTTTTATATTTTTTTCATTTTAACCTCAACACATGGACAAGGGCTATGGGGTTACTATTGTGGGAATGATTTTTTGCGAAGAGTTAATACTCATTCCGTATGAGCAGATGAATGCCCTTTTGTCTTTAAGCTGTTGGAAGTTGGAGGTTTCTTTTGTTTTGTTTTTATGTCAATCTGCTCAAGTTACATGCAAAAAAAAGGGAGACACACCTCATGTGGAAACGAGGAATGATCTGATTTCCATTTTTTAAGTGTACATTGTGCTTCTTGAGTGCATTTATTGCTTTTTTTAACATTCACAGATTAGTAAACACACTTGCAATTTCTTGTACACACTCACAAATCTGAGTGCAACAATTTCCCTGAGGTACCCTACCACAGGGATCAATAAAGTTCTATCTAATCTAATCTAATCTAATCTAATCTAATCTAATCTAATCTACAATTATATGAACTGAGGCACAGTTTCTCAACTCTCCCATATGCGTTTGAATATATTGTAATACCCCCGTCAAGCGATAAGCAACCCATAATCCTTTTTTAATGTAATTTTTTCATTCAGCTGATATCACTTATATTTTCTTCAGATTTATTTTTACCATTATGCAGGTCTAAAGGCTGCTCCAAAGCCCTCTCCCTAATACCAGGAAATAAATTCGATTGGAGACATATTAAATCCCCTTTAAATGATTTCTTTTATGTATCTAAAAATAGTACAATTTGAATAAAATTGAGTCTTTAGCCTGTAGAATGCAACCCCAATCTCTGGTTGTTAAAAAGCCACTGATGTTATAAATATTCAGCATTATCTTGGGTTTAAACATTACAAACTGGAAGGGTGGGGTTTAGAAATAAGTGGACATTCAGGATGCAAAGAGGGTCAGATGCATGGTGGTAAATGTCAACATATAGTACACAAGATGTTTCCACCACAACAGCTCTTTAAATGTGAACATCTTCTAATATCAAAATAGTTGTAGCCCTAAATCGAACCTTCGTGAAACCAAACTCCATTCAAAAAGCCTCCAATTTAAAGCCAGAGAACGCTTGAGAATGAAGAGAGATTTTTAGCTCTGATTTGGTCGCCTCCGGCAGATTTATTTTCTTCTGTTTTTGAGAGGAGAGAATTAACCAGAGCTGCAACTAAAAATTGGTTAGCTGCTGATAATTAAACAATCGCCAACTAGTTTGGTAATCAAATCAGTTTGATTTGTTTCTGAAGGAAATTCTCTGATTGCAGCTTCTTAAATATGAACGTTTTCTGGTTTCTTTCCTTTGTGAGAGTAAACTGAATATTTTCAGACACTTGTGAACATTTTACACCATTTTCTGAACAAACAACTAATTGATTAATCAACAATAATTGTTTGTTGCAGCCCTAAAATTAACCTTCCTCTAACCAAACTCCATTCGAAAAAACTCAGATTTAGAGGCAGACAGAGAACGTTTGCGAATTAATGCTGATTTTATCTCAGTTTTGGTCGCCTCCAGCAGACTTTAGACGTATCAAAAGTTGACTTTTTGATATTAAATTTGTTCAGTACGTGTTGGAGCTGATATATAATTTGGTTTTTGGACTAATTAAACTCATTGTGGGTTCTGGTCAGTATTTGTTCACCAGATGATGGACGTATTCATCACAAATAAAAACAGCTTTTGGCTGACTGTAAAAGATTCTTAATCTGCTGAACTAAACATGTAAAAAAACACCTTTTTTTTGGGATCTGATGCTTTTAAAACAACTCTCTCTTGTGAGTCCCTCAACTGTATGAAAACCAGACCTCTGTATCACAGTCCTGAAAAGAAAAAAAATGCACTCATCCAGTTCATTCATCCATGTAGCAGCCAGTTTGTTCAAATATGTGTGCAACCCTCCTTCTTCCTGAAAAGGAAAAAATGTTTAAACATGTACGTGACTCTCTTGTAGATAAATGCAACCTGCTCACATTCATTCCTGAAGGTTTTTAGACACTAGAAAATATAAAACATCCATCAGAGCACACAAGTGAGCCTGGAAAAAGAAAATTGCACAAACGTTCTGCACAGAATGTTCAGTATCTGACGGTTTTCTTTCAAGAATCTTAGATCTCCTCCAAGAACAGAAATGGGTCAAATAACAGCATCTTGTTAAAAACAGATGATAGAGTCCAAACAACTTATCATCCATTTCTTATTTATTTGCTAAGAAATACAAACAATGCAAACATCCTTTTCCAAAGCACCAAATTGTTCACATTTTTCAGAGTCCCAGCGTCCACATCCATAGAAAAAGAAAGCCATCTGCAATGCATCCTGCAGGGAACGTGAACCAACCCATTTCTCAACACGGCTGATGAACGAGAATAAGAATTTTTGCAAAATACTTTTTTTTTTAAAGTGACTTTTAACACTTTTTCCAACACGTAGAATTCTAAGAGATTATGAAATATACAACATATCTGGTTTAAAAAAAAAAAAAAAAGCAGAAGCGGTAAAGGGGGGTGAGTTGGAGCTTTACAGTATTTACAAATGTGACATTACCCTCATTAAAAATATACTGAGATCTGTATCTCAACTGTGGTATCCAAATGATTAAGTGTGTCACAAGATTAAGTCCGGCCGGCTGATAAAATAGTTTCTGCAGCGTTTCTGTCCTAAGTCTCCCGGTGGGTAAACAACCTCGAATGTTGGAGTAGAATTTTAAAAAATATACAAACAAAATAGCCAAAAAGTGACATTCGTGTGAAATACACTAGTGTGCTGGGGGGAAAAAGGAGATGAAATGAGCCTTGGTGAGTCTCCAAATAACATGTTTGACACATGTGCTGTGACCTATGAATGTCAGCTAATGCATGCAGAGGCATAAATTAAAAGGTGGCTGATGTCTTGCTGGTGTGGCAGAAAACCTCCAAAATCTTTATGAAAATCTCACATTATGCTTCACAGTCAACTCTAACATGTCTCATGTAGCTTCTACACCTTTTTCAGATTAAAAGAGCTGGTAAACCATTTGCCACAAATGAAAAGAAATGCAGGTAAACTGAGGTTGGTCCCCCTCTCTCTCTCTCTACATCCTTTACAAACACATGTTGGGGAGCACTCTGTGTACATTCTGAAAGAAGATGTAAATTAGTCTTTGGCAGTATTTGGGGTTGGCCAGTACGGTTCAGATGACACAGTATGGCTCCATGGGTGTCTGTGTTCCCAGGCAGCAGGGGAAACAGGCTCTCAGTCTCATCCGGAGCTCCTTGTTGAACAGGAAGCTGATGATGGGGTTCGCTCCCGCCTGGGCGAAGCTCATCCACACCGCAGCGGTCAGGTAGAGCTGCGGCACCGGAGAGCCGCGCACGAATATCCTCAGGTAGCAGGCGCTTATGTAGGGAGCCCACAGGACGAGGAAGGTCAGCGTGATCATGTAGTACATCTTCCCGATGCGCTTCTCCATCTTGAACTCGTCCAGCACCAGCAGCCTCCTGTTGCCGGGGTGCGAAGCCTGCCGGATGCCCACCAGCGTCGGCGGCGTCGGTCCGCGGCCGAAGCCCGCGATCCAGTTGGCGGCGGCCTGTCCGGTGGCTCCGGGGCCGTGGAAGGTCCAGTTCTGGCTGATGGCCGGGACCAGCTGAGCCGGCTTCATCTTGCGGTGGTCGTAGACGAAGCACAGCATCTTAATGTAAACCACATGGGTCGTGCCCACGATCACGGCCAGCATGAGCATGAAGCCCAGCGTGTCGTTCGCCTTCACGTAGCGGTGCTCGAAGATGCACTGCTCCTCCTCACGGATGAACTTGTAGGTGCCCACGTCGAAGACCGGCGGGAAAGCCATGGCCACGGAGAGGGTCCACACCATGCAGATCACCGCGACGCACGTACACAGGTTCATCCGCTTGGAGTAGAAGCGGTGGTGGGCGATCGCCATGTACCGGGTGACGCTGACGCAGAAGAGCAGGAAGGCGACGTGGAAGCAGAAGAGCACCGACATGAAGGCGACGATCTTGCAGCTGAGCGCGCTGTACGGCCACGAGGAGCCGCCGCCGATCGATGCCATCACGAAGGGGAAGCAGACGGCGGAGCGCACCACGTCCGCCAGGCACAGGTCCAGCAGGAAATAGTAGGGAGCCTTGTGCAGCGAGCTGTCCTTCAGCAGCAGCAGCGACAGACACGCGTTGCCCAGCAGGCTGATGCCCATGATCAGACCCAGGGAGGCCAGCTTGACCGCAGAGGCCGTGGACGCATAGTTCTGTAAGGACGGGCTGCTCTCCCCAAACTCGCTTGTGTTTGCCATCTATGCAGCCGAGGTAGCGCGTATTCCCACATCAATTCATCGACGAGCGGTAGTATCCTGCCAGGGCTGAATGGAAGAAAAAATAATAAAAAAATCAACACGATCCGCCGCCCCTGTAACAGAAAGAAGAAAAAAAAACAACAACCTACTCCATCCCGATGTGCTGTAATCCCCACCAAAACCAAACAAAAATCATTTCGTGTCTCGTTTTTTCTTCTTGTCCTTCATCTCACAAGTGTCCGGTGCAAAAAGCGCCTCTGTCCGTCCTCCCATTCTCCGCTGAATAGAGGCAGGATGCTTCAGGTCTACACACCATGTCGGAAGGCATCCGCTCAGCAGACGACAAGCGGCTCACAAAACACATCTCAATTTCCACCGATGGCGGAGGTCTCCCGTTCGTCTCCAGGAATACGGCGGCGGCGGCGGCGGACGGTGCTGTGCGGCGGCATGGCGCAATAATTACGCATCCACAGCCTCGTCTAGAGCGCCGCTAAAACACGGTGCAGCCGACATAAAGCAAACATGTTTGCGAAAGCTGAGCGGGAGGTCGGAGGCGCGCAGAGGTTGGGAGCGTCAGGACGGATCTGTCGGTGCATCTGAGCAGCAGCAGCAGCAGCAGCAGCAGCGTCTCGCCTATGCGACGCACGTCCGCTTGCATGTAGTGAAGCAGGCCTGGGATCAGCCAGGAGCCTCATCTGCTGCTGCTGCTAGTGTGCTGCGATCTATAGGGAGCCAGTCTCCAGGCTCTGATGCAAATGTAGACAGACTGACATGGATATCCTTGATTGACATTGCGCAACGCTTGATATGCAGCTTGTTTGAATAATTCTGATTATGGAAATATCGTCTTTTACAACATATCCATATGCAATAATCATTCTAAGTAAATCACACACAGGAGGCAATAGTCCCATAAAACACACTTGATTGCTTATAATGTCAATAAGTGTGCACACAGGCCATCCATCCTTCCACATCTTATTTCCTGACGTTGCATGTAATCTAGTGTGCTTGTGGGACTGTATTGGAAGGCAAACATAAGGAAAACCTATCAGAAATCACTTCCATCATATATGTATCTGACACACCACGTACAAAAAAGTGTATTTGAATTAAAGTTTGGTTTCCACTGAGTCTCGTTTCTCTTTCTGCTTTGTTGAAGGCAGTTTAGACTTAGATTTAGACTGACTTTGTTAATCCCAGAAGGAAATTCAGGTGTTAGAGCAGCATGACTATTCAATAAAGGGGCTAAACATGGCAAAAGACAACACAGAATATTAGTTTAGGGCATATAATGAAGGTAAAAAAGTAAAGTAAAGTAAATTTTTTTTTTTTTTAAATACAGAAAATATAATACAAAAGAAAGTCAACTAAATTTACAAGAATACATAAGAGATGCTTTTCTTTATCAACTTGAAATGACATTGCTCAGTGTTCTAGTGTCTGCAGCAGCTCAAATGATGTTTTTGTGCAGTAGGAAGTCAGAGTAGAGAAAAGTAGAGAACAGCAAGTCTAATGACACAAATCATGCTTTATGTTTTAGGTTAGGTAAGTTATGAATAGTTCAAGTACTTAAAATTAAGTTTCAGCCATATGAGCTGTTCATTTGAGATGAATCTAATGATTTGAGCACATCTCACTTAAATCTGTGGCACTAATTTGATTACACTTAATGCAATTTTATGCTGCCGATGGAAACAATTCATTTAATTTAATTCTCTTTTTTCAGCTTCTTCACACTTACAACTTGTCATTTCAATTCTTATTTCTACCACACAAATGATTTTTTTGCATCACCGGATTTAAAAGCACACCAGAGTCAATGAATCAGGTCGTGTGTTGTTGGTCTTTACGCACAGATTCCAGACTTTGTGTGGCTTGACTGTTGTGTTTACTGTGACACACTGAATTAGACTTTGGCACCCTTTAATCAAACAGATGGCTTTGCTTCCAGGGCTGCAGAGAAATTAGATTACACAGTAATATGAAGCAAATTAGCCATAACGACAATGATTCGTGTCTGTATGCACTCTAAATGTTTAGGCAGTAATGACAGCTTCTGATGAAATTATGTTCAACCAAGAAACTACTTAAGGACTTTAAATCCCAAACTCACAGTGGAGAAAAGATATCCAGCCAAATTAACTGAGTTAACTTGAATTTTCTTTTAAATCAAATCAACTCAGAAATTTCCATTTAAATTGCGCACACTATCAGGGTGGTGCAAATATCAACACTATTATGTCAACGGAACTCATCAAAACACCTAAAAAGGTTTCTCTAAATCAGTAAATACACATTTTTCTTTTGCAACTGTGCATTTAATTAAGTCCTACTTGTAAGAGTTTAGGTCATGTGATTAAGTTTTGCTGTGATTCAGTGGCTGTTTGAAAAAAAAAAAGAATGACTCAGTGTTTTACTGAATCACAGTCAACACACACAAGTCAGGATGAAAGGTACACACAGACAGACAGAGCAGCTCTGACAAAGTGGGTCATTTTACAGAAATGTCAGAGGGCTCGACCAAAACAGTTTGACCTCTTCCCCCCCTTACATAAAGCTTGGCGATAAGGTTATTTGTTGTCTTAAACAGCACCACCTGGTGACACACCCGGATAAAGAACTATCAGATAGAAAGTCTCATGTTTACATATTCATGGTCTCTCAATAATCAAATCTTGCTCTCAGCAGGGCTTGTGTACTTTGAACCTCACTTGCCGTCATGTGACGAGGCTCCACCTGCAGCAGTCGTTCACCAGCAACCAGCTCCAGTTCAGTCAACATAGAGGCCTTATGAAGCTGTGTTTGGAACAGATATTTACCCTAGTAGGAGAATTAACACTCACGATCCTGCAACCACATCTTCTAGTCAAGTCAGAATGAAGCAGTTAATGAAGTATTTTCATGCAGAAAGGCCACACAGATATAATAAATCCAAATAAAACTGCTGGATCAATGCTATGGTTTAGTCTGTCATATGGCTATGATCAGGCTGGTCAGGTTTGGATCACAGATAAATACGTTGTGCATCCCTGTTGATGGTTAAAAGTGGTGATACTATGTGCATTTCATGCTTGGGACAAAAATTGTATTTTTAAATTGTCAGGTTTGGGATTTAAATAGTTTAGGATGTGGTTGGTGCAGCTGCGGTTAAAGTTATTATCCAGCAGAGATTTATTGAAGATCAGCACATCACATTATAATGGGCACATTTGTCTTACAGTAGATTGAGTGTGTTCATTGCCTCGCAGCAGTAACTGACTTGTTGAAGCTTGAAAAGTACCAAAAGGAAAGTATCCTGAAAACCAGGCAACAAGAGGCTGCAGACTGAAGATAGCAAAATGAGAAGATGTCTCACTCTGAGGAAAAAAAATAAAAAAATAAAAAATAAGCTTACCTACTTCCTGGTCTGGCCAAGTGGGCATTGCTGGTCCCAGGTTTTCGTAGACACGCCCTGCATTACACACCTTTCTTCGCCATAATATCCTGTGTAAAAACTTTCATGTATGCTTTTTGCTGCTCAAGCTTTACAGGGACGTTGTGATGCAGGTGAGTTTGCTTGTCTGATTAAAGCCAGCAGCCTGTTAAAAAAAAAATAATTTACACAAGTCCTCACCTGAATTTGTTCCTTGCAGAGGCCATCTTGTCCTGGAGTTTAAAGAGGGGGGCACACCTCTAAAGCAGCTCTTCTATAGGTTCACTGAGTAGGTGGGGTCTCAAATATGATTGGACTACAGGTGTGTCCTGATGTTGAAACTGGGAACACACCCCCTTCCTTATGTCTAAGAGTGCACTTATAGAGAAATAAGGGAATAGTCTGACTATTGAATGCAATTTGTGAGGACAGTTTTTTTTCTCTTGCTATGTTAATTTATTTTTTCTTCATTTTGGAGGTTTGTTTAGAATAGAATAGAATAGAAAAATACTTTATTTATCCCAGTCTGGGAAATTACTGTTAAATTACTTGTTTAAATAAACAGCTCACTATTTTCCAGTACATTTTGATGTTTGTCCTCCACATGCCTTACAGTGCTACCTGCACCAATCCTTGCAACACCAGTTTAATGATGACAATGCTCACATCACTGCATGCAAATGTTCCACTGAAAACAATTCCTCCATCACTGATTTGGGAGGGACACTGTCGCTGCATCCTGGGCTCCGTTCGGTGATTGGTTTAAAGAAATACAAACAAGCTAGAGTGGTCTTCCTCCCTATAGCTGCATGATAATAAGGTGCAGGAAGACTGTAGCTCTGTGCTGCAGGATGATCTGTCACTGATATCCCCTAAAAATCAGTGCAGGCCAACAGTCATTTTATTTTGCTCACATACTTACTTTACTCATTCGCTTATACAGGCATGACTGTCAAGTAAAGGCACAGCACGATGAGTCATATATAACACACTATTATGACTTCCTCAACTAATAAAACAATCAAGTTATACTTTCTTGATTGCTGATAATACTTTTTTTTTTTTTTAAACTTGCCTGCACTTTTTTTTACTTGATTTTTTTCTACTTTCCTTTCTTTTTTTTCTGATTCTGATTCTGATTCTGATTATTGTATCCATTATGGTTTAAATCTTCTTTTTTTTCACTAAATGCTCTAGAAAAATTGTGGGCACTTTATTCAACTTGTCTGTACTGTTTTTTGGGGGGCTTTTTGATGGTACATTTATTTGATTTCTGTTGTGCTGTGTTTAGTTTTTTATCTTTACATGTTCTAATTCTTCACATTTGCCTGTGAAGTACTTTGAATAACCTCCATACATGATAAGGTATATATATAGATACATTTTCCTTGTTTGCTGCAGTTTACATTTACATAAGATAAGATAAGACAAGATAAAATAAGATAAAATGAGACAAAATAAGATAAGTTATAGAATAGAAATACGTATTGATAATCAAGGAAAAAATCAGTTGTTACAGTAGCAAGCAGAAAGAGTAAAGTGACCTCCACAAAAAATACAAATAAAACAAACAAAGAAATCAATAAGCAGAAATATATGGTAAAGCAAGGTAAAAATAAATAAATGAATGAATGAATGAATGAATGAATAAATAAATAAATAAATAAACAAGCAAGCAGACACATCCAGCAAAGTAAGATTTAGAAAGAAAGAAAGAAAGAAAGAAAGAAAGAAAGAAAGAAAGAAAGAAAGAAAAGCATACGAAAGTCCAAAATATGCAACAAAATATAAAAATACTACAAGTAAAACATTTACTGAAGGGAAAAATGCCTTTAACCTCTTAAGATGTGAGCTCTTGTTTACATGCATACATTTTTTAAATTTCTATTTGCTATTTAATCTGATCAACTAGCAAAGAGGAATAAAACATTTTTTAAAAAATAAAGAATTTGTAAAAAATAAAATAAAATATGTTAATAAAATAACATAAAAAATAAAAATAATAAATAAATATCAACAATAAAATAAGAATTAGAAAATATTAAAAATTAAAGTAAATTTAAAAAAAATACCTACTGTGGTAATATAACCCAAAATGTGATGTTCACTCATGTGGACGCCAAGTCTTAAAGTGTCAAATGCACAATTATACTAAAGTGAAAATGAAGAAACTAGAATGTTCTGTAAACAGTAGTGCAACATGTGCAAGTAATAAATAAGATAAGAAAATCTTTATTGGTCCCTCAACTGAGAAATTTCCATGTGCTGGACAATAAAGCTAAAAATAAAACAATAAAGATCTCATAAAGACAATGCACAAGTCATGATGAACTGACACATGGATCCGGACAGCTCAGGGTATTACTGCAGTACCATGTGTGTAGATCTTTGTCATGTGGTTTTGTGCAGCTGTAAAGCCCTCAGAGTGAGCCCTCTGCCGCCTCTTCCGGGTCTGTGACGTGGACCAACTGCGTCGCCTCTGGCCGGTGACGCAGTTACGTCAGCAGTCGGTGGGCGGAAAAGCGGCAGTGTGTTTCTGAATGTGGAGGGGAGAGAGACAGAGAGAGAGAGAGAGAAAAAAAGCCAAACCGGGTTGTTTTTAATAACGAGGATTCACACCGGGGCCACGGAAAGCTTTAGCTCGTCGCCTGCTGTAAATGGCGGTTCCCGCGGGTCACACGGACGTACAGATGGACAGAGGCGCCCTGAGCGGACAGACGGTTTCCCCCGAAAACGACATTGACATCGACGAGAAAGAGTTGGAAAACATCACAAAGAAACACCGAGAAGACGACACGACAACGCTGCCTTTGCACTCACCTTGGACGTTTTGGCTGGACAGGTAACGTTCCCACCTTTCTTCCGCGGTGTCTTTTGTTTTTTTTTCGGTTTCGAGCCCCGGAGACGAGCCGCAGCGATGGAGGGGGAAAAAAAACAAAACCATTCAAGGCTTTTCCGAAGGCCTCCAGGAGCGAAATGTAGCGGGAGAAGAGTCTGCGACTAACATGACCTTCTTCTGTTTACTCTGGCAGCTTTTATTTTGCAAAAACATGTCGTGGACAAACACACCAAGTCAGTTCTTTTGCAATTAAACCACAAAGTTGCTCTAAATGTGTTTCCCAGCAGGGAGCCTGAGGGGGTTGAAACTGACAGTTTTATAAACTAAAGCTAGCATAACACAAGAATCCTGCACTGGACCCGTTTGTTATCTAATCAGAGTGCTTTACTGATGTAACTGCCTGTCTAGCTGTGGTTAGAATGAGTCCTAAACAATGCATCTTATCATTGTAGCTCTAAACTAAGGTTTCCACACTGATCACTGATCTTCTGTGGATCTGCTAAATTTGAGAGGTGACACATGAAAGAATGAAACTTTCAAAGAACTGAAGACTGAAGATGAATAATCAAATAGCTGGAAGTTGTTCAGCATCACCTCAGACAGTTCATTAGTGCAATGGTTCTCAAACTGGGGGTCGGGACCCCCATGTGGGTCCCAAGATAATTTCAGGGGGTCGCCACATCATTGGGAAAAAAAATAAAAAAATAATAAAGTCTACATATATATATATATATATATAATTTGTATTAGGGTTGTCAAAATTAAAAGTGTAGACTTCTTCCCACTCCTTTTTTGAACTTGTTAGTATTATGATTGGATTATGTGATGTTATTATTCTTTTTTGCTCCTTTTTAAAGCTCTTTTTTAAAAAAAAAAAAACTTTTGTGTTTATGTTTTTTCCCCTTTCATTTGTTCGAAATATATTCAATTCATTCATTCATTCAAAAGAAATCTTATGTGTTAATATAAAGAGATTAATCTGTGGAATTAGCGCATTAATCTTTAACGCATTAACCACAAAGTTATTACTCATGATATATTAAAAGTTCAAACTGGGGGGTCATGAACACAAACTTGTGTTATCTTGTGGGTCAAAAAGTTTGAGAACCTCTGCATTCGTAGATGTTTTATCAAGCATAAGATGCACTTTCTATGGTTTCAGCTGCTTAAATATCACAATTTGATGCTTTTCTGTGTTTCATATTATTTTAAATAGAATATATTTTGTACTTTGGGTGCTTCTCTGACAATCAGAGGCATGAAAGTGTCGACTTGGGCTCCGCATGACAAACATTTTTCTCCAATTTGTGCCACTTAAAGGTTGAAGGAGTTCATAGAGAAAACGTTTAACCCATAATGTTGTCAAAAACTGAACTTGGATCAGAATCACGTTTATCTAAATTGGATAGCTCTTCCCAGGCTTTATGGTTAGTGAGGTCCGAGTATTCTTCAGCTCTTTGAAAAGTTAACCCTCCTATATCCTTCAAATTTACAGACATCTTTTATCCTTGGGTTGAGTTTGACCCCAGCAATTTAAACCTCCAGAAAATATCATAATTTATGTCTAAATAGCCCTTTTAATAAAACTAAAAAAAATTATGTCAATGACTTAATTAGACATGTTAAAAATTGAATGGGGTCAGATTGACCCCAAAGATAGGGTTCATTCTTTCATTTTTCACCTCTCGTATTTAACAGATTACTAATTACTAGTTACGCTTCAGTGTCATGTGGCAGATAGTAAAACTACCCATAAAGACAGGGGAAGAACTAGCCGATTAGCCAAACAGCTGCAAGTTACTCAGCTTCAGTTAAAGCAATTCATTAGCGATCTGCCAATTTCATGTTTTTCGTTTTCTTTCTTTTTATTTTAAACAGAACATATTTGGACTTTGGGCTGCTCATCTGACAATACGGAAACATGAAAGTGACAAGTTGGGCCCCTCGGACTCATGACAGCCATTTTTCTCCACTTTGTAGCACTCAGAAGTTACCAGTTCCATATGATTATTTACAGCTAACTAGTAAGGGGTTCATGGGGGTGGGAAATGCTGTTTATCCCGTAATGTTGTCCAAAACTTAACTTGGATAGAAATCATAATCCTCTAAAAGAACAAGGCTAAAACACATTTATTGTTTAACCATTTGTCTGCGAACAAAGGTGTCCAAATGTTGTATGACACTCAGGTGTGATCAGGAATTGTCTGTGTAACTGCTAAATTTGAGAAGTGACGTATTTAAGAATGAAACTTTCAAAGAGCTAAAGAATAACCAGACATTACAACTTTCTAACTAAACGGTGCACGTTCCATGGCTTTAACTGCAAAAAACACAAAAATTTCGTGCTATTATTATTTTAAATAGAACATATTTGTATTTTGGATGCTCATGTGACAATAGCAGACATACAGGTGTCAAATTAGGTTTCTCTGACTCATGACAGCCATTTTTTTTCCAATTCGTGGAACCTAATAGATTTAGTAAGTAGTCTTAAACTTGAATGGGAATCATAATCCTCTAAAAGTAAAAAAAAAAACACAAAACACCTTCTGTTTGTTGTTTCACCATTTGTCTTGGTACAAAGGTTTACAAAGTTCTTCTACATTTTTCCTAAATATGAAAATAAACATATTCAAGAATTTAACTTTCTAGGAACTGAAGAATGCCAAGACTGGAAAAAACAACCGACCAGTCAAACTACAGCAGGTTGTTGAGCATCACTTAAGACAATTAATTCAAGATGAGCCTACCGTTGTTTCTACCAAGTACAAATAACACTTGTTCTGTGGTTTCAACTTCCTGAATATAACAATTCTGCGCTTTTCTGTGTATCATATTATTTTAAACAGAATATATATGGATGACGGCTGACAGTAGCGACATGAAAGTGTCAAGTTGGGTTCCTCGGGGTCATGACAGCCGTTTTTCTCCACTTTGTGTCACTTGATAATAAAGTTTATTTATATAAAACCTTTCACAGTACAAAGTCACAAAGTGCTTAACTAAGAAAATGAACATAAGACTATAAAAACAACAGAAAGAGAGAAAAGCAAATCAACAGTATATCCATAGATAGATAGATAGATAGATAGATAGATAGATAGATCTTATGTTGTCAGACGCTAAACTTATAGTGTGGGAATCAGAGCAATGCTAAAAATTGCAACAGCTTCAAACTATTAAACTTGAATGCTTATAAAAAGCTGTTGGTGAAATTAGCTCAAGAACCACACAGTCTATATATGCATGAACATTTCTCCATAAAGATGATCTTAGGCCCTTTATCAAACAAAGTGCAACAACTCTGTGCCACTCACTAAAACCCACAAACCCCGACAATGCTCTATGTGTGAGATCCAACGCTTGTTTCCGTGCTCTGTCGTCTAGTTTGGGTTAAAACGGTTTCCTCTTGTTTTCTTCAAGGTCTTTACCGGGCACGACGGCTGCAGAATGTGAATCCAATCTGAAGAAGATCTACACAGTGCAAACTGTTCAGGTGAGACTTGATGTCGGCTTTAAGGAGCTTCGTCGTCTTAGGAACAAAAAGATCAAGTGCATGACTTGGCTAAATGTCAGATTCGTTTGAGAAGAGCTTCCATGATGCAGAGGAATGAGCAGCTACAGTGTGCACAATTGGTGGTGGGAGAAAAAAAAAAACTTTTACCATGAAACATGAGCATGTACTGCAAAGTTTATTGACACCAGATTACATCAGCTTTGTCTAGTGGAACTATTTCGAAGTGCTGTTTTTTTTGTGTTGGTTTTATTTCTGTCATGTGTACAGTTTTTGTGAGCAAATTGTTAGTTGATGTTGTGTATTGAATAGAGGGAAAGCCACTATCTTGTCAACATGTAAACTATACTAGAAGTTTTGTCCCAATTTTAGAATCTTTGCTAAATTATAAAACACAAGATAAAAACTTTCTCTCCCTAATAAATCTACAGATCTTTTAATATCCAAGCTGACATCACACAACATCTAAGATAGTATTATTGTAGAGTTGTGTTTAGGTTGGTGAAGCAAGGTGACGGCTTCATTTTGAACAAGCCAAAGCAGAAAAAATACAGGAAGCTGAACTGTTGCGTCAGGGACAGTCGTCCTCTGCTGGTTCAAAGTGACGGGAAAGTGCTGCTTATTTGAATCAAGCTTAAAGAAAAAAAAACACAAACTGACAAAGCCTAACACAGGTGGGCTATGTTTGAGGTTTATCAGTAAAAATGTAAATGACTCTAAAATACAGTGCAGGGTGGCTTTTAATAACTTTGCTAATATTCTGTATTATGATAAAGTATTAATCAATACGTTGATCAACAAATTTTAACAGCTATTTTGACAATTGATTGTTTTAGTTGCCAAATATTTCCTGGTTCTTAAAGCAATCAAATACATCTTTGATAATTATAATGCTTTTTTTCCCCTATATTATTACATTTTATAGAGACAACAATTAAGTAAGAAAATCGTTTGCAGATTTCTATATAATAGAATAGAATAGAAGAATAGAAAAATACTTTATTTATCCCAGTCTGGGAAATTACTGTGGTACAGCAGCAAGAGAAAAACACCAATCCCGACAGAAAAAGAGCCAAAGTTAAATACTATTTAAAAAATAAAAATAAGTGAATAAAATAAATAAAACAACTGTACAAAATGTGCAAATTGGAAAAAAAAAAAGGTTAATGGTTAAAGATTGTTAGTTGCAGTCCAGTCATTATGTACATAAGTTTAATACAACTATTTAAAAAAAAAAACTGTATTGCAAAATACTAACTTTCTCCCAGAAATAAACTATTTTTATTATGTTAATGAATTAAAGCTAAACACATAAGTGCCTTGTTGGATGTACTGGTTGATCAGTACTGTTGTGTATGTTCATTAATAACCAACAAGAAACTGTACTACAGAAATACCAAACTATGCTTCAGTACCATTATTACATAGTTTGTCCAGCAGAGAGCAATGACGGATGGATTTTCCAACTGTTCTCAGTGTGCCCCAAGCTCCCAATTTCAAAATAAAAGCAGTTCCAAGTATTAGCAAATCTATTGCTAATGGATTGTTTTTAAGCTCCTGCATTTCTATTTCGGTATCGGCCTCAAATATCCAGTACAGATCAGAGAACAGCTGCCATTACATTACTGTTTTTGTTTTTTTTTTGCTTTGCTTGCAGTTGTTCTGGAGCGTCTATAACAACATCCCTCCAGTCACAGCCCTGCCTTTGAGATGTAGCTATCACTTAATGCGAGGAGAGCGAAGGCCGCTGTGGTGAGTCTGTTGTTATTGCAAATATTGTGATTACGTTCCTTTATCACCGGCTCAAACGGAGGACAAATTTAAAAGTGTAGCTCAGGCAGTAACTGCCAAACTGGATGTATACTCCCGATGCTCAATCCCTCAAACGTGGTAAATATAAATTTTATACGAGCACGCCATAAAAACTTTTTACATAGTTTTTATTATGAGAGCATCAGTTAAACATGTTAGGTTGTAATTGGTTGTGCACATGTTAATGAGATGCTATTGCTCTCTGGTACTTCACTGCATTTACGTCCCACCTCATGTCAGCCAACGTTTTTCTCTATGTGTATAACATAAAACTGATCCTTCTGTTACACCTGCAAGATAATTCGTGTTTTTTTGTTTTCGTTTTTTACACCAACAGGGAAGAAGAAAGTAACGCAAAAGGAGGCGTATGGAAGATGAAAATACCAAAAGAAAGCACTGTAGGTGCTGCCCTCCGTTGATCTGCTTTCACTATTATGACGTAGTCGAGTTACTGATCAGCTTCTCTGTGTTTCAGTCTGCAGTTTGGAAAGAATTGTTACTTGCAACTATTGGGGAACAGTTTGCAGATTACTGTGCTTCAGGTACAGTTTGACTTTCCGAAAATAGTTGTCGCCTCGATGCAAACTGATTTATTGCTAACGCTGCGGCTGTTTTGTTCTCGTCTTCGTTTCCCCAGATGACGAGGTCGTCGGCGTCAGCGTCAGCGTCCGCGATCGGGAGGATGTCGTACAAGTGTGGAATAGAGATGCGTCTCTCGCTAACGAAGCAAATATCTTGGGAAAGGTCTATGAGCTGCTCCCGTACATATCTTTTAAAGCTGTTTTTTATAAGTGTGAGTATTGCCATTTTTTCCATCTACCTGTATTGTGTTTAAACTTTACAGAGGGAAGAAACTATTGTCTCTGATGACACAAGGCAGACTATAGAGAGAGAATTTGTTTTTGAAGGACTGAACCAGAGCATGTAGGCATACCAGAGGATGATTTAAGGAGCGCACATGGCTGAAGGCAAATTAAGGCTTTATTGATGTTGCAGAGGAGGCAGCAAGATAAATACTCCATATGCCTTCGTTCCTGCTTCACATTCACGTAGGCTGGTCTTGTCACTGCCTGTTAAGTATTTGATAATAGTGATAGTTTGATAAAGCTAATTAATCTAAACTTGTACTTGAGATTTTAGAAGTTTTTTCAACAAATTTTTATCCAGGTTTAATGATCCAATCTGGGCATGGATTTGTTCTTTTCTCAAAAATGTCTTTCCGTGGTCAAGGTCTAACTGTGTCCTGCATGTGTAATCGTCTTTATTTATGTCAACCAGGTCAAAAGGTTTATAATCACCATGAATCTCTTTGACTTTTTCAGCTCACATGGAACATCATGCCTTTGAGGGAGGACGCTCAAGACATTAGATTGTGAAGCACTTTTCCTTTTTTTTTTTTTTAACCTGAACTCTGTACCTGCCTTGTCGTAAAGGCTCTGTCCACAACCTAATCAAGGATATTATTTTGCTTTCAACAAGGAAAATGTTATCAATATATTTTTATAACTTTTAATGACTGATGCCTTGTTTCATTTCGACATGGGTCCTAAAGCTCTGAGCTTCGTCAGAGAATGTATATCCAGCGTAAATCTCATCCAGAGTTTTATCGGTTTGTGTCCGTTCTGACTTCCTGCTATACTGAACTGCACTGTCACGGTCCTGTCCTCTGCACAGCCTATGGACCTCACAAGTCATTCCCCCCCGGTATAGAGGTAGCGTTTACCTGTCGAACATGTCAAACGTCTGCATTCACATCATGTTTTAATTAAGTCAGCTTGTACAGTGCCAAAGCACTTTTCTGCCGTTTAAGAAGTTTGTATCTTAATAATGAAAGTGTTGTTTTTTTCAGCTGGACTTTTTCCACTTGGATGGAGTGAATGTCCCATTTGGTTTCTTGAATCTTCATCAAGTGTGCGTCAAACTTAAATCAGGGTAACGCTTTGAAAATATTGCACATGACTACATATTCCCATGTCCTTCAGTTATAAAGCCATCACAGGGAATCAGAGCATAAGCCAGCACTGACATGGCCCTCAGAAAACTGTACATTTGGTTTCCGAAGCAGCTTTATTTAAAAGAGGAAAACCCGTCCTGAAAGGTGCCTCCGGGAACGTTCTCAGCCTCACCATATTAGACCTTTCTTTCGATACACGTGTTGAAAGCAGATCTCTCCCTTTCTTCCCCAAACGGAGTCATGGATTGTTTGGCGAACAGATACTGCACATTTTTGTGCTCAGCGAGTGGTGCTTTATCGTACTTGTCTCTACTTGTTTCTTCTTCCGATAAATCTAGTAGTTTGCTTACTGGACTGTGTCCCCCGTAACAATAACACACAGAGAAAGAGGCAACATTATTCGCTTTTAAGATTGTAACGTAAGGTCATGTTGTTCCCATATTTAGCAGGTTGTGTAGATACAGTTTGTCAAGTGTCATCATTAAAAAGTCAAGCAGGATGGACGCGATGAATTTCAGCCACCGTGGAGTCGATGTAGGCGGCTGCTTTGGGAAACAGAAAAACATTCGACTGACCTCTTTGACCCCATCCATACTGATAAATACCATAGACGTAGAACAGCATATTTTTCTGTCAGATCCCTTCACAAGTCTGCACAATTTTTCCTGCATTTTTATCACTGAATCTGAGTTACTTTCACTAACCCTGTTAACACTCTGTTGTTTTATTGCAGTGTACACTGCAGTAGTCTGAATGCTTCTGGTATTACTGTGTCTCAACACTTTTATAGATCAACTCTGGACTGGTTGATAGTTTTAAAGGGGCAATATTTCCTTTGTAAACATGATTTTTTTTGCAGTGACATGGACAAAGTAAATAAAATGGATCTGAAAATACAGTCACTGGGGTTTCTTTTTCAGAGTACAACTTTAATCAACAGATATCTGTTAAGGGGGAGTGATGCTATTATGGCATGTTGGGTGTATCTGAATACCTTAAAATCTTCTAAAAATACGAAACCATTTTGTGCTTATTCCAGTTGCCCATTACTCCTAATGCTGTCCCATCTAAGACGGGATCGAAACTGCCTCAACAAATAGTTTTAAGTAAGTTAACTTTATTTATATAGCACTTCCTTAAAACACACAGTCATAAAATGCTTCACAGAGGCTAAAAAGGTAAATTACAACATGGAACACAGCCCAGTGAGAGGCAGACCGAACTATAATGAAGCTAAATATAAGACAGGGATCTTTAAAAAGCCTCTTTAATTGAAGTGAGATCTATTTTTAAGTGATTTCTCGCTAATAGTAAATACAAGACTGAAAACCTACTTCATCTTACATTTGCGAATTTCTAGACCTTCACCCCCAAATTTTACTTTGTTACTAATAAATTGGCTTTGTTCTGTAAGTATTCCAATAAGCAACGACAGGTTTGCCTGACAGGAGCCACAGACTAGTTGGAAGTTGGGTGCAGGAATCATAAAACATGAAGGTGATGATATCCTGTGGGCTCATTATCACAAGCAGTTTCTTTCGCAATATAAATAATGTCTTTATCCATATAAAAATACTTATTTGTAGAATCCTGCTGATATAGTGGTCTGCTGATTTTGTCTGCTGGTATTTGCTCATCACAAGTATGTTGGTATTGGGGGCTGCAAGGTGGCTCAGTGGTTAGCACCGCAAGAAGGTCGTTGGCAGGTGTCCCGGTGAGGACACCTGAGATCTTTCTGCGTGGAGTTTGCATGTTTACCCCGTGCAGCGTGGGTTTTCTGCGGGTTCTCCGGCTTCCTCCCACACAGTCCAAAAACATGTTGAGGTTAATTGGTGATTCTAAACTGTAAGTGTGAATGTGAGTGTGCTTGGTTGTCTGTCTCTAAGTGTGGCCCTGTGATAGACTGGTGACCTGTCCAGGGTGTCCCCTGCCTTCACCTTAAGTCAGCTGGGATAGAATCCAGCCCCCCGTGACCCTAATGAGGATTGAGCAGTGTATAGATAATGGATGGATGTTGGTGTTGCTGTTTATGTTGACTGTTCTGCATTAATATGAAACCTTTTTTTTTTTAGAAACCACTTGGCCACTTGAGATTGGCTGCAAGAGTGAATCAATCCCCACAGACACTTGTGCTGATATGCCCAGATTTTGGTCTCTATAGCTAATTTTGCCATTCGTGACAACTGTAGGGAGGTTAGTTTTTATATAACTTGCCTGTTTAACTGGCATTAAGGATTAAAATTATGAATAACTCTAGGTATGGCCTCTCAGGTAACAGGTTGGTGCCATGACAGGACAGACTAGAGACGTTTTAGTGGCCTGCGTCACCCCCCTCAACACCCAATCTTTTACATATTTTAGAATTAGCTAAACATTATAACATAAGAAGTTATGGGTGATAAGGTCCTCCATTGTTTACAACACTCTCAGTGCTGTGCAGCAGAGTATGCATCAGTATGAGCAGATGATGGTGCAGAGTCAAGATTTGTCTTCACAACAAGCTGCTAACTAGTTTCTGAAATGTGCTGCTGGAAAGTCAATGAACGTTCTACCTTATAAGTGTAACTCTAACATAAATGCATATAATATTTCCTGATGCATTAATATTAAAAAATATTGACACCCCAAAGAACTATTGATGAATGCAGCTTGTTGTTTTGGATTAATAAACGCAATAAACTTTCTCAGAGGAAGTAACAAGACCAAACTTATCCCCCAAAAAAGGCATTCATAGATGAAAGTAGTTGCTTTGAAGTTTTCTGACCAGAACAAGAGTGCACTAAATGTTTTGACACCAAACCCAACAACTCAACATAATGAGCTGTGTATTAGAAGCTTGATCCAAACAACACAAAATTAGTTGTTTTGATCCCTAAACATGTCCGACTACCTAATACACAAGATTTAATGTGAATGTCCAGGAACCAGAGGGTGAGCAATTACATGGACAGCTAGCTTTAGAGCGCCTCTGCGTCCCCTGGGGTTGTAAAATGCGTTCAAGAAGACTAGTCAGTAATTTATAAAAACCAGTGCAGAGTGCATCTCTACTTTGCTCTGATCATGCCCGCACTGAGCAGCACTTACACAGCCAATTGAAATGGTTAGAAAAAAATAAAATAAAATTGCTGGTATGGACTCACCATCTCACAGGCTTGATTGTATCCACAGTCAAACTTTGTAAGGATTCACCCGCCAGCAGCTTGTGCGGTTCAGAAACATTGCTTTAATGATCAGAGGGGAGAAGAAGAAGAATAGCTGACCCTGCTAGCAGCAGCTACAAAGAAAGGCTTCTTGATTGGGGAAATGCTTCTGTTCTTCTGTAATTTGCACTGACACTGGCCAAGTCCTCGGTTAGACCTTGAATTTAAATGAGACAAACCAATGCATGGAAGCTTGCTCATTGTCCTAAGTATGTTTATTAATAACCGTCAAAAGCTACTTTTCAGTATAATTTTTTATCTCTACTCCAGTCTATAATTCATAATCTGTGTATAAATGCATAAAGAAACTCAGTTTAAACCCTGCATTGCTAAATAAAGTAAGTGTTATTACTTTACACCTTAAATACTGAAAAAGAAGAGGCTGGTCAGATCTTTGGTGTGACCCACAAGCTCAGGCTGGTGTACTTTTGGTTTCATTATATAGGACAGATTGTGGACAGTTCAGCAGTGCGCTATGTCCAAGGACAACAACTTAGTGTCAGTTTCATGAGGATGTATGTACACAAGAATAGTTTTGTAAAATGCGTCAAATATCAGGACAAATGACAGATACTGATGAAAGAATACAGTATATTTACACTTACATGCAGGACAGTATAAATGTCCAGAGGCCACTTTTAAAACACAAGGCTGCAATATGATATTCCCTTAAGTTTTGTTTTCTTGTTTTCTAGATGGCAATGGATAATACAGTACAGTGCACAACAAAAATGATTCCAATATCACTTAAATATCAACTTACTTACAATTGCTTCTTTGTTCCTGTTAGAAGAAATAAAAGGCTAACAATTGTACTTACTATATAAAAAATACA